TCAATCGTAGTCAAAATAAGGTTAGTGATAGTCTAGCTAAGTTTGCTCGTCTAGAAGGCAGAACCATGACTTGGATAGGTTCGGGGCCTTCAGAGGCATTGGAGTTTGCAGTGATTGATTGTATGGACCTTGTGATTGAGTAATACATTATTTCACCTGCAAAAAAAAAAAAGATTTCACCTCCACAAAGAATCAGATCAACAAAAAAAAAACTCATCAGATCAGAGTAATCGGATCTGAGAGGAAAGAAAACTATCTACCTCATGCATCGCCAAAAGAACGTGAGGAAATTTATTCTCACAAAAACTATGATGATCACTGGACGATGATGAAGAACATAGAGGTCTTGAAAATCCGAGGTCCCCCCAGCTCTCAGTGCCAAATGGCAGCCAGAGACGAGGGGACCTAAATTTCTTAGACGACGACGGTGGCGACGCAAGAAACCCTAGTTTGGGAAAAGAAGGAAAGGCACAAACTGGGCAATACTTGGACTAGCATACTTCAAACGCAGGCCCGGCCATAATGTGTTGGCCTATGACATAAGTAGTATTTCTCCGGACTTGGCCAGGGCCAGGCCGGGCTTGCCAGGGCCGCTCATCGCACTTTGTGTGGACTATTGTGCTGATCGACCGGTTGCTCTTGATCTTCTCATAAACAAAAAATCCATTCCTCTTTATTTTTCTTATAGAAACTCTAAGCTAGGCGGCGGCGAGCCCTTTTCTTAGAGCATCTCCAACAGCCGCGCCAAACTAGCGCCGCGCCGCAAAATTCCCCGTTTTAGCGCGCGCGCAGCCGGAATAGTTGCTCCAGCGGGCGCGCGAAAACAGCGCGCGGGCCGAAACTCAATCGCGTGCCGCTTATTTGCTGCGCCCGCTCTCGCGCGCTGGACTCTTGCGCGCTCGCTCACACCTCCCACCCCCATCCAGCCGCGCCGCCGCCGCCGACCGCGCCACCCGACGACCGTTCCGGCACTTCCCCGGCCTATCCCCGCCCCGCGGCAGCTTCTCCGGCCTCCCTCTAGTCCCGCCGCCCCTCGCGCGCGCTGGTCCTCCAACGAACAGCGCCCGCGCACTCGCTGCCGCTCGGCGCCCTCAAGGTGTTCGACAAAACGACTAAAAGACATGTATTGCTCAAAAGCCATGAATTTCGTGCATGTTGATTGTAGTTTTTTATAGCATAGTATTGAACATTGTAGATGAGTTCGTCGTATGATTCTTCCGAAGAAGAATTTCATATGGAAGAGGAGGATCTTGCAATGATCCTAGCTATGCATATCAATAAAAAATCGAAGCACGGTGGTTCGGTTATGGGTCGGCAGAAAATTTGGAGAGATAGGAACGATGCCCACAACAGATTGATCAGGCATTATTTTGCGGAGAATCCCACATACCCCGAGTCGTATTTTCGTCGCCGGTTTAGGATGAGCACCGAGTTGTTCAGGAACATTGCAGAGAAACTAGCGAGCCATGACCGCTTTTTTCAGCAAAGGAGGAATGCCGCCGGAGAGCTCGGGCATAACACTTTTCAGAAGGTGACAGCCGCTTTGCATATGTTGGCATACGGTATACCGGCTGATCTAGTTGATGATCACTTGGCTATGGGTGAGAGCCAAGCCATCATGTGTGTCAAGCGCTTCGCAGTCGGAATTGTGCAAGTGTTTGGCGAGGAGTATTTGAGATCCCCCAATGCTGAAGACGTCGCAAGGCTATTGGCGATGAACAAAGCTCGCGGCTTTCCTGACATGCTTGGCTCAATAGATTGCATGCATTGGAGTTGGAAGAATTGTCCAAAGGCATGGCATGGACAATTCCACGGCCAAAAAAAGAGTTCCACTATAATCCTTGAAGCGGTGGCCGATCAAGAGACTTGGATTTGGCATGCATTCTTTGGAATGCCTGGATCTTTGAATGACATCAATGTTGTCAACCGATCACCACTGATGAATAAGATTGCAAATGGTGAGTTGCCACCGGTGAAGTTTGTAGCAAATGGCCGTACATACAACTATGGCTATTATCTAGCGGATGGCATCTATCCAAAGTGGCAAATCTTTGTCAAGCCGTTGAAAAAGCCAGAAGGTAAGAAAGAACTTGATTTCTACAATGCTCAGACGGCGGCTAGAAAAGATGTGGAGAGAGCTTTTGGGATTTTGCAAGCCCAATTTGCTATTGTGAGAGGACCGGCTAGATTTTGAGATCAGAATCATGCACGCTTGTGTGATCATGCATAACATGATCATCGAGAATGAGCGTGGCCAAGATGTAGACTACTCTCAGTATGAGCTTTTGGGACATCCGGTGCGAGTGCGACGGAGGGCTGAAAGGGTGGCCCGTTTTGTTGCCTCATATCATGCCATTCGACGTCCCGCGGCGCATAATGATCTTCAGAAGGATCTCATTGAGGAGTGGTGGGCATGGAATGGACGACAAAGAGCATCATGATTTGTGAGTTTGATATTGTATTGTTGAACTATTTGTTGTGTTTATTGCACTATTTGTTGTATTGAACGATAAACTGTTTGTTTGAGTTGTAATAATGAAATTGAACTATTTATTTTGATTTATTTTTGTTTGTGTTTGATCTTTTTGCTTTTGTTTTGGAATGCATATGTTGTTTGTGTGGGAGTCGCACGCGCTGCATTTTTACGCGCTGTTGGAGCGGCACGCGCGCTGCATTTTAGCGCGGCTGCTGGAACCAGCGCTGCGCATCGCGCCAAACCAGGTGATGGACCCGCGGCAAACCAATTTTTTTGCCCGCGGCGTGTTCGGCGCCTGTTGGAGATGCTCTTAGCCAGATCTCAATACGGGAAGGCGAGCGCAGGCGGCGGGCGGCCAGCGGCGAGCCCTTTCTGCCAGATCCCAACAAGGAAAGGCGAGCGGCGGGGAGAAGGCGAGGCGAGGACGCCTCGTGAGATGGAGGCGGAAGGGCATTCCGGCAAGTCCGTGGGGGAGCAGCCCCAAGTTCTCCCTGGCCCTGGGAATCCCGATTCTCGTGGCACCAAGAATCCCAGAAAGGATCAAGCTCTGCTCAGACAACTCAGGAAAGAGGAGAAGGAACTCAAGGACGAGGAGAGACAACTGCTGCAGGAGAGAGAGCAGATGGAGTCGACGGAGGAGCATCAGAGGTTAGATTTGTCCAGCCCCGACTGCAGTTCGATTAAGCAGAGTCGAGATTTGTTGGATAGAATCGAGCGCAACGCACAGCGCCAACTGGCCGTCACCGATGAAATCAGGCGCTTGAGCGAGCAGATGAGGGCTGTCAAAGCACGCAGCCTGACGGATATTCAGGGTGTGGAGCACAAGACTGAAGAAACTGCAGCCTTGGATGAGCGTGATCCTGCTAATGGCGGGGAGCTCAAGCCGGAAACTGCAGCCTTGAATGGGCATGAGGCTGATGGTGGTGCTGCTAACGGCGGGGAGCTCAAGCCGGAAACTGCAGCCTTGAATGGGCATGAGGCTGATGGTGGTGCTGCTAATGGCGGGGAGCACAAGATGGAAACTGACGCCTTGGATGAGCATGGTGATGCAGCTAATGGCAGGGAGCGGATGGTGGAAACTGCCGCCTTGGATGTCGACGGCGGTGGTGATGAGGAGCACATGGACTGCGACATTTCATCCATGGAGGACCAGGTGCCGAGGATCGACTCCAAATCAGAGCCAGAGGCAGAGGCGGCGGCGACAGGTCCAGATACCAATGTGTCGATGATTGAATCAAATCTCTCAGCATCAGACAAGTCAATACCCAAACCTGCAGATCATGTTCCCATCAACAGAGGCGATCATGTTGTTGAGAAGATGGACAGAGGCAAATCAGCCGAACAATTAGCCAGTGAGGCCGCGACGATGAATGCCCAACAGCAGAAATTTGATCGGTTTGTGGATGACTGGGATGCTAAATGGGGTTCGGCAGGGTTCAATCTCTTCCATTACATGAGTGAGTAAACATAAATGCATGCATCTTGTTTATCTTACTCAATTTTGTTTAGTTAGTTTCCTTACTCTCTTTTCTTACCTTTGGTCCTATGTCTTTCTATAAGGGAAGGGAAGTGAAGGGATTTACTTTGCTGCTTATCAACTACTTGTTCATGTTACGAAAATTTTAACACCTGCTTCCATTGATCGATTTCTGCAGCGACGGTCAGTTGCATGCAATATACACACTTGATACCCGGGAGCGCCCCAAGGCACAATTGTCGAGCCGCGCCTAGCCTCCAGGTCGTCTCCATCAGACTGGCAGAAATTCAAGGTGGTCTGGAATGGCCGTTGCCAGTGTACGGTATGATTGCTGTCAGAGACCACGTGGATCACAATCGCAACCTTCTGTTTGCCTGCTCAGTCATTGATGGTGAGGTCGAGTCGCTTGCTCAGTCATTGATGGTGAAATTGACGACACACCCGGGCAACTTGAGCTGCTTGTTTCTCGTGGCAGTGCCATGCCCGTGACTTCTGAGGGTTACCTTCTTCTGTCAAGGAATGTCATTTCTGTAGATGTTAACAAGAGCCTGAATTTTCTCCTAGAGGCCTGCTCAGTCATTGATGGTGATATCATTGCACAAAAAGAATTGTCCTTCGAACCCAAACTTTGCAACATAAGTCAGGATAGTTGTGAACTTAATGGTATTGAGTTGGAGATCACTGTTGCTTGGTCTAGTCTTGTTTGTGAGAAGCGGGATATTTTGGTACAAGGATGTGTTGGTGACGAGGAGCAGGACTGGGACGTTGCATCAATGGAGCAGCAGGTGCCGAAGATAGACTCGAAATTGACATCGGAGGTGGGGCCAGAGGCGGAAACAGAGTCGGCGATGAGTCTGGATACCAGTGAATTGGCGAATGAATCGAGTACCTCCATGTTCGTATCAGACAAGTCAATACTCGAACCTGCAGATTCTGTTGCCGCCAACACAGGTTACGATGTTGAGAAGATGTATAGAGGCAAATCAGACGAACAATTAAAAATTGAGGCCAAGGAGATGGCTGCCGAACAGAAGCGTTTTGACATGTATGTTGATGCCTGGGAAGGGTCATGGGGTTATGATGGGTTCGGTTGCTTCCGAGACATGAGTGAGTAAACTTGCATGCATCTTGCTTATCTTACTGAACTTTGGTTAACTAGTCTCCTTCCTCCTTTTTACCTTTGGTCGTACTTCTTTGCATAAGGGAAGTGGAGGGAATTACTTTGTTGCTTATCTAGTACCTGTTCATGTTACAAGATTTCTAACACCTGCTTCCATTGATCTTGTTCTGATGCATGCAGCGACAGTGAGTTTCATGCAATACACACACTTGGTACCAGGGAGCACCCCGTTGCACTATGGTCGAGTATTGCACTATGGTCGAGTGTTGCCTAGCCTGCAGATCTTCTCTGTTAAACTCGCAGAAATACGAGGTGGTCTGGAATGGCCGTTGCCAGTGTACGGCACGGTCGCTGCCCGAGACCATGTGGGTCACAATCGCAACCTTCTGTTTGCCCGCAACAGGAGTGAGTGCCAGATACTCAATGAAGAGGTATCTATCTGTACCATCTTAATCTTATCAATATGCTCTTCGTTTGATTTTGGGGGATATTGTGGACATGCCTGCCTGGGCCCTCTTGTTTATCAGTTGCTAATAAGGTGATTGCTGATGCTTGCAGGATTCCTTTTTGACCTTGACTGGCCCCTCTCGTGCAATTGTCAGCAAGGAATCTGTTGTCTTTGAAATCCAACTAAAAGTAAGAGGTAGAATAAAGTCTCAAGACAAGCCACTGATCAATGGCGTGTACACTTACCACAGCAGAGAAAGACCCATTTGCTTTAGGAACTGCTTTTGCACCGTAGAGTTAAGTTTGGAGAGAATTAAGAAATCAATCCAGGCCACTATTTTGGGCGTCCGTGTCAAAGAGGAGGGGTCATGGCCAGCATTCGGAGGTCGAGTTGCTTGCTCAGCCATTGGACCTGACGCCAGCCCTCAGGAAATTGAGCTGCTAGATTCTCGTTATACAACCGTGCCGATTACTTCTGAGGGTTACCTTGTTCTATCAAGGAGTGTTGTCTCTGTAGACTATCGTGGAAGCCTGTAGTTTATCTTGGAAGCCTACTCAGATTCCGGTAATAAAGTTGCACAAAAAAATGAGTCCTTCGAGCCCAAGTTTTCCAACATAAGCCAGCAAACATGTAAACTCACTGGAGGCATTGAGTTGGAGATCACTGTTGCATGGTCCAGTCTCATTTCTGAGAAGTGGGATATCTCGTCTTGGTACTAGGAGACAACACCAGTCTTTTTTTTCTGAGAAGATGTTATGGCGAGGAGACAACACCAGCCGTGCTTAAATATCAAAACCCCCACGATTGAGTACAGCAGCAAGAGAAAATATTCATAATTGATAAGCGGGGTTCGCCGTGGCTTATCAAAACCCCCACGATTGAGTACAGCAGCAAGAAACGACATAATGCAACAAAACTGGGGAACAGCAAAGAAAATCAAAAACTTGGGGGAACTAAACTAGCTACAGTGAAATAATCAACTAGGGAGACAAGATTCGGTAAAGAGTCTGAATATTCAGTTAACAATCTCAGGTTCAGAGCAACAAGTTACACGGTGCACCAAAAGTCACACCCGACACAAAAAGCTCAAGGACTTGCTACAGGCAATTCGCTCCTTTCCTTATCACTACCCATATTTAGTTAACAGAGCAGCCAGTTACAGGGTGCACAAAAACTTCTAACGGGGCTTCAGATCCTTACTCCCGCCTTCCCGTATAATTGCCTTGCAGCTGAACTCATCATC